TAAAACACTTCTCAAAGACTTTTCAAACACTTCTGAAAACAAACGGTTTTAAAACACTTCTCAAAGACTTTTCAAACGCTTCTGAAAACAAACGGTTTTAAAACACTTCTCAAAGACTTTTCAAAACGCTTCTCAAAGAAAACAAAACGGTTTTAAAACACTTCTCAAAGACTTTCAAACGCTTCTGAAAACAAACGGTTTTAAAACACTTCTCAAAGACTTTTCAAACACTTCTGAAAACAAAACTTTTTTCAAACACTTCTCAAAACAAAACGGTTTTAAAACACTTCTCAAAACAAAAACAAACGGTTTTAAAAACTTCTCAAACTTTTCAAACACTTCTGAAAACAAACGGTTTTAAAACACTTCTCAAAGACTTTTCAAACACTTCTGAAAACAAACGGTTTTAAAACACTTCTCAAAGACTTTTCAAACACTTCTGAAAACAAACGGTTTTAAAAACACTTCTCAAAGACTTTTCAAACACTTCTTTTCAAACGCTTCTGAAAACAAACGGTTTTAAAACACTTCTCAAAGACTTTTCAAACACTTCTGAAAACAAACGGTTTTAAAACACTTCTCAAAGACTTTTCAGACACTTGAAAACAAACGGTTTTAAAACACTTCTCAAAGACTTTTCAGACACTTCTGAAAACAAACGGTTTTAAAAACACTTCTCAAAGACTTTTCAGACACTTCTGAAAACAAACGGTTTTAAAACACTTCTCAAAGACTTTTCAGACACTTCTGAAAACAAACAAACGGTTTTAAAACACTTCTCAAAGACTTTTCAAACACTTCTGAAAACAAACGGTTTTAAAAACAAGACTTTTTCAGACTTCTCAAAAGACTTTTCAGACACTTCTGAAAACAAACGGTTTTAAAACACTTCTCAAAGACTTTTCAAACACTTCTGAAAACAAACGGTTTTAAAACACTTCTCAAAGACTTTTCAAACACTTCTGAAAACAAACGGTTTTAAAACACTTCTCAAAGACTTTTCAAACACTTCTGAAAACAAACGGTTTTAAAACACTTCTCAAAGACTTTTCAAAAAACAAACTTTTAAAACAAAAAGAAAACAAAAACGGTTTTAAAACACTTCTCAAAGACTTTTCAAACACTTCTGAAAACAAACGGTTTTAAAACACTTCTCAAAGACTTTTCAAACACTTCTGAAAACAAACGGTTTTAAAACACTTCTCAAAGACTTTTCAGACACTTCTGAAAACAAACGGTTTTAAAACACTTCTCAAAGACTTTTCAGACACTTCTGAAAACAAAACGGTTTTAAAACACTTCTCAAAGACTTTTCAGACACTTGAAAACAAACGGTTTTAAAACACTTCTCAAAGACTTTTCAGACACTTCTGAAAAAAACAAACGGTTTTAAAACACTTCTCAAAGACTTTTCAGACACTTCTGAAAACAAACGGTTTTAAAACACTTCTCAAACTTTTCAGACACTTTTCAAAGACTTTCAAACACTTCTGAAAACAAACGGTTTTAAAACACTTCTCAAAGACTTTTCAAACACTTCTGAAAACAAACGGTTTTAAAACACTTCTCAAAGACTTTTCAAACACTTCTGAAAACAAAAAAGAAACGGTTTTAAAACACTTCTCAAAGACTTTTCAAACACTTCTTGAAAACAAACGGTTTTTAAAACACATTTCAAACAAAAACAAACTTTTTCAAACACTTTTAAAACAACTGGTTTTCAAAAAACACAAACGGTTTTCAAACACTTCTCAAAACTTTTCAAACTTTTCAAACACTTTTCAGACACTTCTCAAAGAAACTTTTTCAAACACTTCTTTTTAAAAACAAACGGTTTTAAAACACTTCTCAAAGACTTTTCAAACACTTCTGAAAACAAACGGTTTTAAAACACTTCTCAAAGACTTTTCAAACACTTCTGAAAACAAACGGTTTTAAAACACTTCTCAAAGACTTTTCAAACACTTCTTTTTCAGAAAAAAAACAAACGGTTTTAAAACACTTCTCAAAGACTTTTCAAAGAAAACTTTTCAACAAAACAAACGGTTTTAAAACAAACGGACACTTTAAAAACAAACTTTAAAACTTCAAAGACTTTTCAAACACTTCTGAAAACAAACGGTTTTTAAACACTTCTCAAAGACTTTTTCAAATAAACACTTCTGAAAACAAACGGTTTTAAAACAAACTTTTAAACACAAAGACTTTTCAGACACTTCTGAAAACAAACGGTTTTAAAACACTTCAAAGACTTTTCAAACACTTCTGAAAACAAACGGTTTTAAAACACTTCAAAGACTTTTCAAACACTTCTGAAAACAAACGGTTTTAAAACACTTCTCAAAGACTTTTCAGACACTTCTGAAAACAAACGGTTTTAAAACACTTCTTTAAACGGTTTTAAAACACTTCTCAAAGACTTTTCAGACAAAAACAAACGGTTTTAAAACACTTCTCAAAGACTTTTCAAACACTTCTGAAAACAAACGGTTTTAAAACACTTCTCAAAGACTTTTCAGACACTTCTGAAAACAAACGGTTTTAAAACACTTCTCAAAGACTTTTCAAACACTTCTGAAAACAAACGGTTTTAAAACACTTCTCAAAGACTTTTCAAAGACTTCTGAAAACAAACGGTTTTAAAACACTTCTCAAAGACTTTTCAAACACTTCTGAAAACAAACGGTTTTAAAACACTTCTCAAAGACTTTTCAAACACTTCTGAAAACAAACGGTTTTAAAACACTTTTCAAACGCTTTTAAAAACAAACGATTTTCAAACACTTTTAAAAACAACTGGTTTTCAAATACTTTTCAAACACTTTTGAAAACATGCAGTTTTAAATGACTTTTCAAATACTTTTGAAAACAAACGGTTTTCAAATACTTTTGCAAACAAATGCTTTTCAAATACTTCTCAAGCACTTTTGCAAACAAACGGTTTTAAAAGACTTTTGAAAACAAACCGTTTCAAATACTTTTAACGAAATCAAACTTTTAATGGAAGGAGGTTGTTTTCGGCACTAACTTTCTGTCGGAAAATTTTACGAAGATTACAAAAATAAATTGATAAATAAATAATTTCAAAAACATTACGGAGGAAATAGTTTCTTCCGGAAATTTCAAATGAGTTTGCATGTATATATATATATATATATATATGTGTGGTTTTCTCCCTCTCACTTCTCTCTCTATATTTTCTTTCATTTCACTCTCTCTCTCTCTCTTTCTCTCTCCCTCTGTCTCATTTCATTCAATTTCCACCGACGAATACACCATTTCTCCCCGCCCATTAAATATTCCCTTTGAAAAGACTCAAAAGCTTAAGATACCAACAGATGTCGAAGATGAGCTCACAGAAACGTGTCTAAAGTAGTTAATTTAGTCCGGGTAGGCTGTGTGAGCGACTTGTACGTATCAATAAAGACTAATGAATGTATTTCAAATGGGATGTTTTTTGACTGCGCTTTATCTTAACCTTTGAACCGTGAACTGTATTTTGATTTAGATCTGCACAATAAGCATTCCAAGAGTATTATATATATTCGAAACCCTGGCGTCAGTGGCAAAGACAGGAGCATATTTTGAATTAATACAAGAGAGAGAACACTTTTCTCGACATTTACTAAACTTAGCTTAGGATACAGCCGCATAATATTAACGTCAAAATAGTCTGCCTATGGAAATGGCATTTTAATCTCTTTCAAAGTACTACCCATAAGACCTCGCACACTTATACCAGTGTTATATGGGAATAAAATATCTCTGCCGACACTTGAGTTCGAACATAGATCTCCAGTGAGCAAACACAGGCGATCCCATTATTGAATTAAGTAGACCACATAGAGGAAACGCGTAAGCAGAAAGTAGCGTGACGATCTATACGATCGCTATATTCTCGTCTATCCTCTATACTATTCGAATCTGCATTTCTAGTCTATCCTCTGTTACTATACGGACCGCTAGTCTCTACTCTATTTCTCTATTCGGATCACTATACGGTGATTACTATTTGAGCGAGTATTATCGAGCAAGTACTATTAGTGCGAGTGATATTCGAAGGTATTGTTCAACGGCGTTAGTATAGTTGTATTTGCGATTACAAAGTCTCTACTACAACGAGCATTGCGAAAGTGACAAAGAGTATTCATTGAAATTACAAAAGCAATTTTCAAAATCAATCTACAAAATCATCTATTGGGGTCTAGATTATCTACCACGTCGCGTTCTCTTTAATCTCGCCCAGGATCTGAAATCATCTTACTACTTTTAACAATGATTTAAAAAGAAAATGTCATAAGTCTCAATATGCCAATGAGCCAATGATAGACAATAAGAAACCTGGACGATGCAATTTTTTTTTTTTTTTACAAAATATCCATCTACGTGATGCCCATTACAAATTCGCCGACACAAAAGTTAATTTATCACTGTTTGACTGATTTCTGAGTAACCCCTATGCGAGTGTGTTTTCGAGCATGCGCAGTAAAGTCCCCTCAGATTGGTTGTCATATTAATTATAGATTCGTGCGTGGGCTGACGGCTAGCGGTTTGAAAATAGAAATCGGCGAGTCGTGTTCAAATTCCAGTTTATCTTACCAAATGGAATATCTAACTGTGGTTGCCAGTGAAGCAAGAAGAAAAAAGACAACTCTGAATCCAATATAGAATGAGAAGAGGAATTGAGAAAGAAAGAGAGAGAGAAAGAAATATAGAAAGAAAGAGGGGAATTCAAAAAAGAAAAAGAGAGAAAGAATGATAGAAAGAAAGAGAGAGAGGAAAAATATAGAAAGAGAGAGAGGAATTGAGAAAGAAAGAGAGAGAAAGAAATATAAAAAGAGAGAGAAAGAAAGAGAGAGAAAGAAATATAAAAAGAGAGAGAAAGAAAGAGAGAGAAAGAAATATAGAAAGAGAGAGAAAGAAATATAGAAAGAAAAAGAGAGAGAAAGAAATATAGAAAGTAAGACAGAGAGAAAAAATTTAGAAAGAAAGAGAGGAATTCAGAAAGAATGAGAGAGAAAGAAATATACAAAGAAAGAGAGAGAGAAAGAAATATAGAAAGAGAGAGAGGAAATGAGAAAGAGAGAGAGAAAGAAATATACAAAGAAAGAGAGAGAGAAATATAGAAAGAAAGAGAGAGAGAAAGAAAGAAATATAGAAAGAAAGAGAGGGATTGAGAAAGAAAGAGAGAGAGAAAGAAATATAAAAAGAGAGAGAGAGAGAAAGAAATATAGAAGGAAAGAGAGGATTGAGAAAGAAAGAAAAAGAAAGAAATAGAGAGAGAGAGAGAGAGAGAGAAAGAAATATAGAAAGAGAGAGACAATTTGAGAAAGAAAGAGAGCGAAAAGAAATATAGAAAGAGAGAGTGGAATTGAGAAAGAAATAGAGAGAAAGAAATATTGAAGGAAAGAGAGAGAAATAAATATAGAAAGAAAGAGAGAGAAAGAAATATAGAAAGAAAGAGAGAGAGAAAGAAAGAAATATAGAAAGAAAGAGAGGGATTGAGAAAGAAAGAGAGAAAGAAATATATATAGAGAGAGAAAGAAATATAGAAAGAGATAGAGGAATTGAGAAAGAAAGAGAGATAAAGAAATATAGATGGAAAGAGAGTGAAAGAAATATAGAAAGAAAGAGAAAGAAATATATAAAGGAAGAGAGAGAGAGAAAGAAATAAAAAAGAAAGAGAGAGAAAGAAATATAAAAAGAAAGAGAAAGAAATATAGAAAGAAAGAAATCAATTCAGAAAGAAAGAGAAATATAGAAAGAAAAAGATAGAGAAAGAAATATTGAAAGGCGGAGAGAACGAAATATAGAAAGAAAAAGAAGAATTGAGAAAGAAAGAAAGAAAGAACGAAAGAAAGAAAGAAAAAGCAATATAGAAAGAAAGAGAGAGAGAAAGAAATATAGAAAGAGAGAGAGAACGAAATATAGAAAGAAAGAGAAGAATTGAGAAAGAAAGAGAGAGAAAGAAATATAGAAAGAGAGAGAAAGAAAGAGAGAGAAAGAAATATATTTTGAGAGAGAAAGAAATATAGAAAGAAAAAGAGAGAGAAAGAAATGCAGAAAGAGAGAGAGAAAGAAATGTAGAAAGTAAGACAGAGAGAAAAAATATAGAAAGAACGAGAAGAATTCAGAAAGAAAAAGAGAGAAAGAAATATAGAAAAAAAAAGAGAAAGAAATATTGAAATAAAGAGAGGAATTCTGAAAGAAAGAGAGAGAAAGAAACATAGAAAGAAAGCGAGAAAGAAAGAAATATAGAAAGAAAGAGCGAGAAAAAAAATAGAAAAGAAAGAGAGGAATTGAGAAAGAAAGAGAGAGAAAGAAATATAGAAAGAGAGAGTGAAAGAAATATAGAAAGAGAGAGAGGAATTGAGAAAGAAAGAGAGAGAAAGAAATATTGAAGGAAAGAGAGAAAAAGAAATATAGAAAGAAAGAGAGCAATACAGAAAGAAAGAGAGAGAGAAAGAAATATAGAAATAGAGAGAGAAGGAAATATAGAAAGAAAGAGAAGAATTCAGAAAGAAAGAGAGAGAGAAATATAGAAAGAAAGAGAGAGAGAAAAATATGGAAAGAGTGAGAGAGAAAGAAATATAGAAAGAGAGAGAGAGAAAGAAATATAGAAAGAAAGAGAGAGGGAAAGAAATATAGAAAGAGAGGGAGAGAAAGAAATATAGAAAGAAAGAGAGAGAGAAAAAATTATAGAAAAATGAGAGAGAAAGAAATATAGAAAAAAAGAGAAGAATTGAGAAAGAAAGGGAGAGAAACAAATACAGAAGGAAAGAGAGAGAAAGAAATATAGAAAGAGAGGAATTCAGAAAGAAAGAGAGAGAAAGAAATATAGAAAGAAAAAGAGAGAGAAAGATATATAGAAAGAGAGAGAGAGAGAAAAAGAAATATAGAAAGAAAGAGAAGAATTGAGAAAGATAGGTGAAAGAAAGACAGAAACAGTGGGGGGCGATAAACTGCCTTATGTTTAATGGCTGCTTCAGTGAAATTGCAAGCCTTGTCTTTTTATTTGTATTCTTTTTACTTCCTCGATAATGACCTACATTTTACTTCTGATTTTGATAGCAATATTTGTTAAACTTGAACTGAAATATAGATAGAAAGAAAGTTAGACAGATGGAAAAAAAATGATAAATAGAAAGAAAGAAAGAAAGAGAGAAAGATCGAATATTCAAAAGAAAGAACGAAAGATAGAAAGATCGAAAGAATGAAAAAGAAAGATGGAAAGAAAGAAAGATTGATCTTTCTGTCTTTCAATTTTTCTTTCTTTCCACACAGTGTCAAAAACAAGTTTTTCCGCAAATATTCAGCTTTTTCATTACGTCACAATACTTCACACCAGCCATTTTCAATGTGACAATTTGATCAGGTTTTGTTTGAGCCGCCATATTTAATCAAACTGTAATCAATAAAACAAAAGGATGTTTGAAAGCTTTCTGCAAAAGCTATTTTAAAAATCTATTTTTCCGAATAGCTAAGTTTCATGTTCAGTAATGGGTAAAGATTTATGCCGCAGCCGCTATTCTGAAAAATTTAATTCCTCGTCTTTCTTTGTACAGAGAGTCTGTCGATATTATCTCTGACGCGTATAGACATCTTTTGTCTATCATCTTATTATAATTCCGCCCTTGTTAGTTAGCACGACCATTGCACCTTATCCTTAACTTTTCAATTTCTCAATCCCTCACGCAAAATTTGGCTTTCCCACACGTTTCCCCAATAACCTGTACGGTAAGGCGCCCCTTCTCGATTTCTGTTTCACCTCCATCCCCGAGTCCTATCGCGCCACGCAGCTCTGCCCTCTTGGCAACTCTGATCAGTTTGTAGTGTTTGTCAACATATCCTTCTACTCCATCGTTCTGTTATCAAAGAGCAGACTGGGACTCGTTCCGTGATTTCCTTCGCGATGTCCCTTGAGATGTGGTCTTTTAGTTCCCCGTTCAAGAATGCGCTTCCGAGGTCTCTTCCTGGGTAAAAGCTGGAATCGAGGCTTTCATCCCCGCAAGGAAATATAAGGTTAACTCACGCTCATCCCTTTATATCTCTGCTGCTTGCCCAGATGACATTGCTCATGGGAATCACTTCTTCCGCCTATATCGTAGTGACATGTCAGATCGCAACAGACGTCTGTTTGTCTCAGCCCGTAACGAGTGCAAGCGTGCCCTCAATGAAGCAAAGTCACTATTTGCTGATAGAATGAAACAACGTATTGCTATCGCAAATTCGGCTCCAAGGATTATTGGCGTCTCTGCAAGAGGGGAATTAACAACAGCAAATTCACAATACCTCCTTTGTTCAACCAATTTGAGGTCCTGATCTCCTCAGCTGATAAGGCTGAAAATTCTCATCCAACTCAACGCTCGACTCATCCGGTGTACCCACATACGATTTCTCCATTAGAACTGAGGCTCTATTGAGCGAGTTTCTCATAATACCGTATTTGGTATTGGGAATCATCTCTAAATTAGACTCCCATAAGACTGGCGGTGGAGATTGGATACCAGCCATTGTCCAAATTATATAACTACTGCTTCAATGAATCTTGTTTTCCAGCCTGTTGGCACCTCTTCATCTATTGTACCTGTCTTGAATAAATCAGGAGACCCTTCTGACACATCTAATTACCGTCTTATCAGTCTCCTACCCCTCTTCGGCAAAGTCTTTGAAGCCTTAATCAACGCCGAAGTGGTTAAGCACCTAACATCCCATCATCTGCACTCTGACATGCAATATGGTTTCGGTTTGGCCCGTTCTACAACTGATGTGCTCATGGCCATAACTGAAATTGTTTACCAAGCAATCCACAAAAACGGAGAAGCTCGTGCGTGGCTCTAGATATCTCTAAAGCGTTTGATAGGGTTTGGCATGCCGGCCAACTACGTAAACTTCAGGGATACGGAATTTCAGGTTGATTATTTGACTTAATACGGCCATTCCTGTCAAACCGTGTAATGAAGGTCGTAATTAACAGATTCTCCTCCAGTTCCTTTCCCACGAATGCAGGTGTTCTGCAAGGCTCTATCCTGGGCCCTACTCTGTTCTTTATCTTCATTAACGATATTCATGATGTCATAGGTTCCCAAGTAGGCATCTATGCGGACGGCACTACTATTTACTCTTGCCTCAAAAACAAATCTAGTGTCCTTGACAAAACTAACCTGGCCGTTTGTCTTGAAAAGGACCTCCAATCGGTTGTGGACTGGGGCAGGAATTAGCTGGTTAACTTTAATGCCTCAAAAACAAAACTGCTCTCTATTACTCACCCGAAAGAACCATCCCTGCCTCCCATCAGAATGTCTAATGCTCAACTCCACGAGAGCACCTCTTTGCGACTGCTCGGTCTCAATTTGTCTGCTGACCTGAGATGGAACAGATACATTGAATCAATAGCTTCATCCACCGCAAGGAAAGATGCTTCCCTGTGTCGCGCCAGAAAGTTTTTCTCGCCCGAGTCCACCATTCAAATCTATAAATCAACCTTTCACCCTTGTATGGAATACTGCTGCCATATATGGTCTGGTGACCCCGCTGGTTGTCTTAAGGTCCTCGACAAAATCCAGAGACGGATATGCAATGTGATTGGCCCTGATCTGGCATCTCGTTTACAGTCGCTCTCTCACAGATATGCCGTCGCCTCCCTCTGTCTTTTCTACAAATACTTTAACGGCAACTGCTCCGACGAGCTACATTCGCTTGTTCCTAGACTGCAGGAATTTAAACGTGCTACTAGGCTGGCATTACGTTCCCACCCTTCCACTGTCGAAACTGTTAAATGTAGCCGTCTATTCTACTCCAATAGCTTCATGTCTCACACCTCCCGTCTGTGGAATTCCCTTCTTATAACTTCTTTCCCTGATAGCTATAATCTCCAACTATTCAAATGTAATGTCAATCGACGTCTCCAGATGCCTTGATCTATCCCCTATCCTTCGCTTCATCCTTTCCTCTATCACGCTCTGTGACACCTTGTATGCTAGTGACATCCCACCTAGCTTTGGTTGAAATGCTTAAAAAATACCTTAACCGGGTATTGAACTCACACTCTTTGGGTCCTGTCACTGGATCTAACCATCGCCTTTATCCACTGTGCCATGTGTTCTTAAGGACAATACCCGGTTAAGGCAGTGAAGACCTTTCAGAGGGAAAATTAACAGGAGATAACTGATAACTGACATACATTAAACATGGCACGTGGAACGAGAACAGTCTACCCCAGCGAGCGAAATAAAGGGTTCAGTTCGACATTCCAACCACCTGAAGATGGCCGGAGCGTACAACGGCCGAAACGTTGTAATAAATATGACGACAAAGATGAGGACAATAGTCCGAATAATGTAAATAATGTATATGGTGAAAGGTTTTGATAAGAGAACTACATAACATTGTAGGTTGTGAAAACTTTGAAATAACTTCAGGTCGGATAACCGAGTTTTCTAAGGCGGTCTTTGATTAAAGTTAACCCTATGTTTGCTTAATTACTTTCTCCTTTAAATTTAAAAAAGAAAAGCAACAAAAATTACAACAATTCTGTAAAGATATATTGTTTTCTCTGTTAAATGCTATGCTCAGCTCAAATAAAACTTCGATCTCAAATACTTCATTCAAAAGTGATGCAGACTAAGTTCAATTTTTTATATTATTAGTAATAGGGGTATTCTTATTATTATAGGTAGTAGTAGTATTCTGATCATCATTATTATTATTAGTAGTAGTAGTAGTATTCTGATCATCATTATTATTATTATTGGTAGTAGTAGTATTCTGATCATCATTATTATTAGTAGTAGTAGTAGTATTATTCTGATCATTATTATTATCATTATTGGTAGTAGTAGTATTCTGATCATCATTATTATTATTATTAGTAGTAGTAGTATTCTGATCATCATTATTATTAGTAGTAGTAGTATTCTGATCATCATTATTATTATTATTGGTAGTAGTAGTAATATTCTGATCATCATTATTATTATTATTGGTAGTAGTAGTATTCTGATCATCATTATTATTATCATTATTGGTAGTAGTAGTATTCTGATCATCATTATTATTATTATTGGTAGTAGTAGTATTCTGATCATCATTATTATTATTATTGGTAGTAGTATTCTGTAGTATTCTAGTATCATCATTATTATTATTATTGGTAGTAGTAGTATTCTGATCATCATTATTATTAGTAGTAGTAGTATTCTGATCATCATTATTATTAGTAGTAGTAGTAGTATTCTTATTATCATCATTATTATTATTATTGGTAGTAGTAGTAATATTCTGATCATCATTATTATTATTATTGGTAGTAGTAGTATTCTGATCATCATTATTATTATCATTATTGGTAGTAGTAGTATTCTGATCATCATTATTATTATTAGTAGTAGTAGTAGTATTCTGATCATCATTATTATTATTATTGGTAGTAGTAGTAGTATTTCTGATCATCATTATTATTAGTAGTAGTAGTAATAGTATTCTGATCATCATTATTATTATCATTATTGGTAGTAGTAGTATTCTGATCATTATTATTATTATTGGTAGTAGTAGTAATATTCTGATCATCATTATTATTATTATTGGTAGTAGTAGTATTCTGATCATCATTATTATTATCATTATTGGTAGTAGTAGTATTCTGATCATCATTATTATTATTATTAGTAGTAGTAGTATTCTGATCATTATTATTATTATTGGTAGTAGTAGTAGTATTCTGATCATCATTATTATTATTAGTAGTAGTAGTAGTATTCTGATCATCATTATTATTATCATTATTGGTAGTAGTAGTATTCTGATCATCATTATTATTATTATTGGTAGTAGTAGTAATATTCTGATCATCATTATTATTATTATTGGTAGTAGTAGTATTCTGATCATCATTATTATTATCATTATTGGTAGTAGTAGTATTCTGATCATCATTATTATTATTAGTAGTAGTAGTAGTATTCTGATCATCATTATTATTATTATTGGTAGTAGTAGTAGTATTCTGATCATCATTATTATTATTAGTAGTAGTAGTATTCTGATCATCATTATTATTATTATTGGTAGTAGTAGTATTCTGATCATCATTATTATTATTAGTAGTAGTAGTAGTATTCTGAACATCATTATTATTATTAGTAGTAGTAGTATTCTGATTATCATTATTATTATTATTGGTAGTAGTAGTATTCTGATCATCATTATTATTATTATTGGTAATAGTAGTATTCTGATCATCATTATTAGTAGTAGTAGTAGTAGTAGTTGTAGTAGTAGTATCTGCCCATTGTTTGACATTGTCCATCGAGTTATTGGCGTTGGTGTCCTCTCCTACGTCCACAACCAACGATGTCTTGCATGATGGTCCTGCACAGGCTGTCGTGCCTTGTAAATAATAATATTAATAGTAACTAAATTAGTAATAATAATAGTAACTAAATTAGTAATAATAATGCTAATAATAATATTCATCATCATCATCATCATCATCATCCCCTTGACTTTTATAGTCGTAGGTCGGATCCGAATGCAAAAGCCAATCAAACTCATTTCCCCAACGGTTTATCAACGGCTGCCATCAGTAGTTCTTGTAAAGTCACAACTGTCCATTGTTTAACATTGTCCATCCAGTTATTGGCGTTGGTGTCCTCTCCTGCGTCCACCTTTAAAGGCGCCTTGCACAGGCCGTTGTTCCTTGTAATGTGTTCAAACCACGCCATTTTTCTCCGTTTGACAGTGGCAATAAGAGATCCCTTGTTGGCCACAGAAATTTCAACCCTTTTCCACACAAACCCATTGGTTTTATGTTCCCAATAGAAGATGTCAAGATGTTTTCTCATGCCTTTGTTCTCAAAAGCTTGGATCCTTCTCTGTTTTTGCCAACAGTGACCACGTTTCACATCCATATAGCAGAATGGAGACTATTTTGTTTCTATTGCTTCATAATCCTTTCGGTGTAGATAAATTCGCGGCGCCCATCTCCTCTCAATACCGTACATTAAACATTTCTCTTATATATTTTTAATTCTTTTGTCGATCGTTTCAGAGTGGACTAAAATAATTCAACAACTGTACATTCAGAGTACAGGATACGCAGTTAGTTAGATTATTAAAAGCGCCAGCACCAAGAAGCTGTGTTTAAATTTAACGCGTCTTGGATATTATTTCAATTAATGATCCCATTCGTTTTCAGTTTGGGTTAAAAACGAGAGATACTGACCTGGCATTTTCCCAACAGGATCTAAGTAAGCAACGTGGCCAAAAGCCAATCTTGCGTTTTAGAAGAGAAAGGTAGATTCTGCCAAGTTATAATTTCATAGCAATTAGCGTCCCAGAATATCTGGAGAGTTCCTTGTCCGTGCCATCGAGAAACAAAACAGCGCTCATGTAAACACGCAGGCGAGAGAAAGAAAAACTAAATATTTACTGTTTTTATTTGTTTGCCGTGTGAACAAAATAGAAAGGCATCAAGTATCGAACTCGCTCCTCTGATATTTGGACAGATAATCCGTCTTGTTAACTACCACTTTTGCGGGCAGCTGCTCTCTTTAAATATTTGCTAATCACTTGATAGGCTGGTATGAAGCCAAAATAATAAGAGACGTCTCTGCTATTGAAGTCATTATACTTGAGAAATCTCTACAAGACTAGAGTATTAACTTGTGCTCTAGAACAAGCGTTTTATGGGGATATTAGCCAATCATAGTTCAGATGCGAGACCAAAAGGGTGACACAGAGTAAAGATCTGCGTCACCAAACTAGAGAATGCCCGGTATTTGGAGATTTTTTTTGTGTTGTTAATTTTTTTTTTGTTTTTTTTTTTTTTTTGTATGTTTTTGGGTTTTATTTCAGAGAATTCTACGAGAGGGATCGAGTGCAGACATTTCCTTGTCTGTATCATTATTCATTATAGCTAGATTTATTCCATCTTATTATTGTTGCTATTTATGCCAAAACTCTGGGTCAATACTGACGTTACTCCATTTTATTAGTGTTGCATTTACATAGATAGATAGATAGATAGATAAGACCAGTGACGATAGATAGATAGATAGATAGATAAGACCAGTGACGATAGATAGATAGATAGATAGATAAGACCAGTGACGATAGATAGATAGATAGATAAGACCAAAGTGACGATAGATAGATAGATAGATAAGACCAGTGACGATAGATAGATAGATAGATAGATAAGACCAGTGACGATAGATGAATAGATAGATAAGACCAGTGACGATAGATAGATAGATAGATAAGACCAGTGACGATAGATAGATAGATAGATAGATAAGATGACGATAGATAGATAGATAGATAGATGGATAGATAAGACCAGTGACGATAGATAGATAGATAGATAGATAGATAGATAGATAGATAGATAATAGACCAGTGACGATAGATAGATAGATAGATAAGACCAGTGACGATAGATAGATAGATAGATAGATAAGACCAGTGACGATAGATAGATAGATGAATAGATAGATAATAACTGACCAGACGATAGATAGATAGATAGATAATAAGACCAGTGACGATGATAGATAGATAGATAGATAGATAGATAGATAAGACCAGTGACGATAGATAGATAGATAGATAGATAGATAAGACCAGTGACGATAGATAGATAGATAGATAGATAGATAGATAAGACCAGTGACGATAGATAGATAGATAGATAGATAGATAGATAAGACCAGTGACGATAGATAGATAGATAGATAAGACCAGTGACGATAGATAGATAGATAGATAGATGGATGAATAGATAGATAGATAGATAGATAGATAGATAGATGGATAAGACCAGTGGATGATAGATAGATAGATAGATAGATAAGACCAGTGACGATAGATAGATAGATAGATAGATAGATAAGACCAGTGACGATAGATAGATAGATAGATAGATAGATAGATAAGACCAGTGACGATAGATAGATAGATAGATAGATAGATAAGACCAGTGACGATAGATAGATAGATAGATAGATAAGACCAGTGACGATAGATAGATAGATAGATAGATAAGACCAGTGACGATAGATGAATAGATAGATAGATAGATAAGACCAGTGACGATAATAGATAGATAGATAAGACCAGTGACGATAGATAGATAGATAGATAGATAGATAGATAGATAGATAAGACCAGTGACGATAGATAGATAGATAGATAAGACCAGTGACGATAGATAGATAGATAGATAAGACCAGTGACGATAGATAGATAGATAAGATAGATAACGATACGATAGATAGATAGATAGATAGATAGATAAGACCAGTGACGATAGATAGATAGATAGATAGATAGATAAGACCAGTGACGATAGATAGATAGATAGATAGATAAGACCAGTGACGATAGATAGATAGATAGATAGATAGATAGATAGATAGATAGATAAGACCAGTGACGATAGATAGATAGATAGATAGATAGATAGATAAGACCAGTGACGATAGATAGATAGATAGATAGATAGATAGATAAGACCAGTGACGATAGATGATAGATAGATATAGATGGATAAGACCAGTGACGATAGATAGATAGATAAGACCAGTGACGATAGATAGATAGATAGATAGATAGATAGACCAGTGACGATAGATAGATAGATAAGACCAGTGACGATAGATAGATAGATAGATAGATAGATAAGACCAGTGACGATAGATAGATAGATAAGACCAGTAACGATAGATAGATAGATAAGACCAGTGACGATAGATAGATAGATAGATAAGACCAGTGACGATAGATAGATAGATAGATAAGACCAGTGACGATAGATAGATAGATAGATAGATAGATAAGACCAGTGACGATAGATAGATAGATAGATAGATAAGACCAGTGACGATAGATAGATAGATAGATAGATAAGACCAGTGACGATAGATAGATAGATAGATAGATAGATAAGACCAGTGACGATAGATAGATAGATAGATAGATAGATAAGACCAGTGACGATAGATAGATAGATAGATAGATAGATAGATAAGACCAGTGACGATAGATAGATAGATAGATAGATAAGACCAGTGACGATAGATAGATAGATAGATAGATAAGACCAGTGACGATAGATAGATAGATAGATAGATAGATAAGACCAGTGACGATAGATAGATAGATAGATAGATAAGACCAGTGACGATAGATAGATAGATAGATAAGACCAGTGACGATAGATAGATAGATAGATAGATAGATAGATAAGACCAGTGACGATAGATAGATAGATGATAGATAAGACCAGTGACGATAGATAGATAGATAGATAGATACCAGTGACGATAGATAGATAGATAGATAGATAAGACCAGTGACGATAGATAGATAGATAGATAGATAAGACCAGTGATGATAGATAGATAGATAGATAGATAGATAGATAGATAAGACCAGTGATGATAGATAGATAGATAAGATAGATAAGACCATGACGATAGATAGATAGATAGATAGATAGATAAGACCAGTGATGATAGATAGATAGATAAGACCAGTGACGATAGATAGATAGATATGACCAGTGACTATAGATAGATAGAAACAGATTGGGATAGATCCATAAAAATATTTCTAGTGTTTAATTTTGATAAGATCCTTTTTTTCCCCAGATTGCTGTCCCAATACATGACGTAAGAGTTAGATGCTAATTAAGCTTGTTTTATGAGCGTAACAGAAGGTTGGTTGGTTAGTGTTGTCGAGCAGCATATCAATATCTCTATTGTTTATTGCCAATATCTAAATATTTTGTATGCAATTTTATTTTATTTTTTGGAGATAATAATGATTTACTGAGACAAGTCTTACTAATTAATCAATACCAGGGGGAGAAATAGTGGATTCAGCCTTTTCGCAACGGTATCTGTGCGTAAGTGACTAGAAGGAACCCAACTTGAATTGGAAATTTAAATGTGAGATAATGTGGAAAGATTATATTGAATCAAGTGATAGATCTTCTGCTAGGAAAGTTGGTTCACTGTGTCCCGCTAGACATTTTTTTTCTCTCCAGAGTCTATCTTATATATTTATAAGTCTACCATTCGTCCATGCTTTGAATATTGCTGCCACATCCGGTCTGGAGCTTTATTTATGGATTCTGATATCCATGATAAAATCGATAGAAGACTATGCAATGTTACTGATCCTGACATGGCATCTCAGCTTCTTTCAATTTCCCCACAGCCATAACTTAGCTTCTCTGTGTCTTGTCTTTGAATATTTTCATACGCACATTTGGTCTAAGGTACCCTAGACTTTATTTTTATTATTCCTTGCATGTGTACTTCATTTCATTTCATTTTCTTTCTTCATTAACTGTGATGCATTGTGGGAAACATTGAATATTAACATCTCCAAATCTGTGACAGTCTTGTTTAGGCAACAGCACGAATATAGCACGTGGAACTAGAACAGTCTACCCCAGTGAACGAAATAAAGAGTTCAGTTCGACATTCGAACTACCTGAAGAAGGCCGGAGCGTACAACGGCCGAAACGTTGTAATAAATATGGCGACAATGATGAGGACAATAGTCCGAATAATGTAAATAATGCATATCTGGCCTGTTACTTCTCCTATGTATTTGGTGATGCTTCATAAAATCCAAAGAAGAATCTGCAATGTTATTGGTCCTGATCGGGCATCTCAGTTTCCGTCAGTTTCCTACCGCCGTAACATAGCTTCTCCGTTTCTTTTTCTATAAAGACTTTCATACTAAATGCTTTGATGAATGTTACTCTTTGTTACCTAGACTTTATGAATTCAAGCGCAGTACTAGATTGGCGGCAAGGTCCCATTCTTTTTTTTAGATGCAACCGTAAGTTCTATGCCAACGTTTTCTCCTCTTACACTTTGATCAACTTGAAATGTCTAGATGTAACCATAAGTTCTATTTCAACACTATCTTCCTTGTGGAACTCTTTTCTGGCTTCTGGCTGTCCACTCAACTTTGATCTTCAAAAATGTAAATGCAATCTCAATCGTTATTCACTGTTTTCTTAATTTCTGTTTTTTCATCGTTATCTCTCCTTAATAATGTTTTATTTTTCTTATATTCTATGACACTCATCAACCCCTTGTCGTTTAATGGCTTCATTTCTTTTCTGGGGGTGAAATGAATGCGACATATTCGTGTATTAATAATAGTAATAGTATAATATGTGCGAGTCGTGTAAGGATTATTGGCGTAAATCGGAGACCCGAGTTCAATGTCTGGCTAAGTTTGCTGCGTTTATTTTCGAAAAAAAATATCCTTATTAAAGTTAAAGAAAGCAAATGTGAGTCTACACGCTAAAAGGAGGTTGAGTTTAAAAAAAAAATATATTGGCGTCATAGATGTGTTCATGAAATTATCTCTGAAATAACGGTCTGCGAAAACAGGAATATTTTATACAAAATCATTTACATGCTTTTTGCTTATTTTATCGAACACATTCAATTTTAAAATATGCTTTTTCAAGATTGGGTGTTTCTTTTCTGTATTATTTCTCATGAGGAAATGCAAAAAAGAAAAGGAAAAGTAAATACTACATAATTACGAGTAATGGCGGAAAATCTTTGCAAAATTTGGATGATTCCTCCCATCATTCACCTAAAACCCTTCATGGCGCCTTTTCTGTGTTAAACATAAGAGCAATGGCGAGAACGCGTCTCACGTGATAAAAACAAAACTAAAAGAAAAAAGGAAAGAAAATATCGATTATTGAGATTTTTTGCGGTTCGACTAGTATATTCCATTCCATTTGTCCTTTTAGATTGCATATGTTATATAACAATCGATTTAATCGATTATTTATATATGACGTCACACATTATGAAATGGACAAAGTCCGATAGTTATTTAAAAATATTTTATTTTTATACGTTTTTTTTTTATAGATACAAATATTTAAGTAAATGCTCTGTATATAATAAACAGTATTAACAACATTTACCGGCATGAATATACGAGAAAATTTCATAGAAAATATGCCTCCTCCGACAGGAATCGAACCTGTATACTATACAGAACCGTCATATAAACTGACGTGCCTTTACCGATTTAGCCACAGAGGAGCGTTTCGGTTAGCAAGGTCGATTTTACTGTTTTTAAACCACAATTCTCCATGATTTTCTCTCGTACATTCATATCTGCTCGATGCGTATCCAAATGTAAACAAATGACGTCACACATTATGAAATGGACAAAGTCCGACAATTATTTTAAGACATTTTATATATATATATATATATATATATATATATATATGTGTGTGTGTGTGTGTGTGTATGTATGTATGTATGTGTGTGTGTATATATATATATATATATATATATATATATATATATTAGATATTACATAGAAAAACATGTCAAAATCGCTAACAAATGCAACCGTGTTTCGACGCGTATCGAATCCATTTCATCAGGCGATTGTAAATTACTAGCAAGTGAACGATTCATTTAGATTTAAAAGCAAAATACCTCTCTTAGAAAAAAAAATGGGTGGGGCTGTTATAAGGTTTGTGGGCTTTACTCAGAGCAACTAATCGAACATGACCTACGTTACATTTAAACTAAGTGAAGAAAATTAAGAAATTGTTTTCCATAAATGGGTCATGGCTCGTAAATTGGCAGTCAATGGCAGCACAGACGTTTAACAGGATGTTAATGGATACATATTTTACAGACCAATGTCATCTCTTAAGAAAGAATCAGATGCCCCGGTAATTTAACCAAATGCTAAACAAGTTATATGCTTTGTGAGTGTCCTACATAATTTTTTTTATAGTTAATAAATAAAGAGCTTCTTTAAGAAACAAGTAAATAATTTAAGCGTATCGAATTTTCGAGGCTTTAATTAACGTCGAAGAAATTAAGCAACTTACATCCCATGATCAGATCTCTGACATGCAACATGGTTTCCGCTTTGCCTGATCTACCGCTGATTTGCTCATGGCCATAACTGAATTTGTTTACCAAGAGAAGCTCGAGCCGTGGCTCTTGATATCTCTAAAGCGTTTGATATGGTTTTTCATACCAGCCTTCTTCATAAGCTTCAGGGATACTGGATTTCAGGTTGATTATTTGACTTAATACGGCCATTCCTGTTAAACCGTGTAATGAAAGTCGTCGTTAACAGATTCTCCTCCAGTTCCTTTCCCACGAATGCAGGTGTTCTGCAAGGCTCTATCCTGGGCCCTACTCTGTTCCTTATCTTCATTAATGATCTTCCTGATGTCATAGGTTTTCAAGTAGGCGTCTACGCGGACGATACTACTATTTATTCCTGCCTTAAAAACAAATCTAGTGTCGCTGACAAAACTAACCTGACCGTTTGTCTTGAAAAGGACCTCCAATCGGTTATGGACTGGGGCAGGAATTAGCTGGTTAACTTTAATGCCTCAAAAACAAAACTGCTCTCTATTACTCACCACAGAGAACCATCCCTGCCTCCCATCAGAATGTCTAATGCTCAACTCCGCGTGAGCACCTCTTTGCGACTGCTCGGTCTCAATTTGTCTGCTGACCTGAGATGGAACAAATACATTGAATCAATAGCTTCACCCACCGAAAGGAAATTTAGTTCCCTGTGTCGCGCCAGAAAGTCTTTCTCGCCCGAGTCCACCATTCAAATCTATAAATCAACCTTTCACCCTTACATGGAATACTACTGTCATATATGGTCTGGTGACCCCGCTGGTTGTCTTAAGGTCCTCGACAAAATCCAGAGACGGATATGCAATGTGATTGGCCCTGATCTGGCATCTTTTTTACAGTCGCTCTCTCACAGATATGCCGTCACCTCCCTCTGTCTTTTCTACAAATACTTTAACGGCAACTGCTCCGACGAGTTACATTTGCTTGGTACCAGACTGCATGAATTTAAACCTGCTACTAGGCTGGCATCACGCTCCCACCCTTCCACCGTCGAAACTGTTAAATGTAGCCATCTATTCTACTCCAATAGCTTCATTTCTCGCACCTCCCGCCTGTGGAATTCCCTTCCTATAACTTGTTTCCCTGGTAGCTATAACCTCCAACTATTCAAATGTAATGTCAGTCAACGTGGATTTTGATATCTCTGAAGCGTTTTATATGGTTTGTCATGCCTACTTTCTTCGTAAGCTTTAGGAATACGGAATTTCAAGACGGTTATTTGACTTAATACAATCATTACTGTCAAACCGTGAAATGAAAGTCGTCCTAAACGGATTCTCCTCCAGTTCCTTTCTCACGAACGCTGATGTCCCCCAAGGCTCTATTCTAAGTCCTACACTGTTTCTGATCTTCATTAGCGATCTTCCTGATGTCATAAATTCCTAAGTAGGCATCTATACAGACAACTCTACTATTCAGCCCTGCCTCAATAGAAAATATGTTATCGCTGACAAAACTAAACTGGTTGTTGCTCTCGAAAAGGATCTCCAATATGTGGTTGACTGGAACAGGAAATGCCTCAAAAACAAAACTGCATTCATTTATCCACCAGAGAGAACCCTCCTTGCTTCCCATCAGAATGTCTGATGCTCTACTCCACGAGAGCGCCTCTCTTCGCCTGTTTGGCCTCACGCTGTTTGATGACCTAAGATGGAACAAATATATTGAATCAATAGCTTCATCTACCGCAAGGAAAGATGGTTCACCATGTCGCGCCAGAAAGTTTTTTTTCTCGCCTAAGTCCATCCTTCAAATTTATAAATCAACCATTCGGACTTGCATAGAATATTGCTGTCATGTAAAACAGTCAATATTATGAATAAAAAAAAGTGGATTTTATATTGTACTAGCAGTAGAGCCAGGTGTTGCCCCGGGATGTAACAGTAAGAGATAGATCAAGTATCGACCATCATAAAGACTGAAGAATAAAATTATCAAAGATTATTGTTTAAGGTTGACGGACACGCATGTCTTAATTAGTTTTTTTCGTTGTTTCTTTTTAGTTTTTTTTACGAATTGGTCAAACCCAAACTCAAACAAAAACATTGTTTTCAATCGTTATGAGTCTACCGATTGAATAGAATTTTATTATAAACAATTGTCTTGTAAATGAAATTTTTAAAGCATTCTGAATGTAAAAATAAAGAAAAAAGTATACAAGACAATAAGAAACACTACCTGCCAAAAAAAAGTGAAATTTTGTTGAAATCGGTTGAAAAATGTAGGAAATCTGATCCCATATATAAACGAACACAGACACACACTCACAAACAACCTGGGTTTTATAATAAGTATAACTCGATATGAGTTGTCTCCTTTCATTCTCGCGACAGCGATCCTTGTAATCGTCTTTTCAAATTGATTTCGTTCAAAAAACAATTGTGTTTTTTTAAATTTTTTATATGTCAGAACCACCGCAAGGTAATTTTACGTAGTCCTGTGAAGTTTTGTTGAAATCGGTTGAAAAATGTAGGAAATCCGATCCAATATATAAACGAAACAGACACACACACACACACACACACACAAAACCTGGGTTTTATAATAAGTATGATTTTTTCGAGATTTAACATCATTTATTATGATTTAATAGTAAATCGTGCTTATTTTAATTTCTAAGGTATATAAATGTAGGTTGAAAAAAAGCAAATGTTCCTAAGATAGCAAGAGTCACAAAGCACTGCTCAGAGATCAGGTTAGCCCCACCGGTCGGATGGTTCAGGTTTAATAGTAGCCGTCCTGAACGGTTGATCTGTACCAGAAACTGGGAAAGGCCAGCTGCACGCTCACAAGAAAATGAAAGGAGAAAACAAATAATTTAACGTGAAATGAACACCTGTACTCTTTTTCAATATATTTAGGCGTTTAATCAGAGCTTCATTTACTCGGTGGGTAGGTAAGTGACGCTTCAGACAACTTCTGTTGGTCCGCGTAACAAATCAGCTCTTCCCATTAAAAATTTTCTCCTACCTATCTCAAAATTACGACGCATGGCTGGAAACACGGACACGCCGCATCAGAACTCCACGACAAACAGTCTGCACACCCCTGCCAAAAACAGACCAGAAATTACTTTCTTAATCCCAACTGTGGCTGTTAACATAAGCCAGCAACCGAAAATCATCAAATTCCGCATTGTTGTCGCTTGATCCCACAGGTTTTCATTTATTAATTTATTTTTTGTTCCCTTTCAGTCAAGTAGTATGTTCGCTGTAGTATAAACTCATCAATGGTGATAATGGCATCAGTGATGTCTCGTATATTTGTTCGATATACGATATCTTTAACATAACCCCAAAGAAAGAAGTCTAGGGTTGTCATGTCTAGTAAATGAGATGGCCAGGGAATTAGACCATTCCTCCCAATTCACCAGTCTGGAATATTAGGGGTTAATTTAACAGTACCTCTTTCATTAACACGGAAATGCACAAATTAAAAACTTTGATAACTACTGTCTGAATAGAACAAATTTGATTAAGATATCTCATCAACTGACTTTTTAAAATTATGTTGTGGATTCCGGGATGAAATTCGGTACCAATAAATAACAAACGCCAAGAAGGAATATAGGAAAAAAATGTATTAAGGTAATAATACAAACTGGTAATGCAGGTTAGTAGTTCCAGGAATACGGGTTAGTAGCAAATATATATATATATATACAGTCTTTGGTATTGAAGTATCACTGTATGACCTCTTATTGAGTCTACGTGCTCGCTCATCAGACTCCTACAACGCTATTACCCCACCCTCACTCTTCCGGTTACCTACAACCTTTTACTCTGTCACTCTGGACTCGACTCGACGCTTCGGTCTTG